GTTCAGTAGATGATTAGGAAACGAGAAAAGATTAGCGAAGCTTAAAATTCCGTCAGAAACATCAAGAGAGCTTTTGTAATCGGTAAATATTGCTTCTTTAAACTGAAAGAAGAAAATAGAGACAAAAATTGTGCAATATAGCTCAAAGGTCATGTTGTTGCAGTTGCAGTTGAGTTGTTCGACTCAGACAGATGGAATTGGACTGTTCAGTGTAATTTCAGTCAAAACATTTATCAAGTTACCATGGTGATAGACATTTTGTAATTGAGCATAAGGATGATTTTTATCGTGTTTACAAAGCCTAAATGAATAAATGAAAACTTAAACTAGGTCGAGAGACATACAGACAGTAATGAAACCCCGATACGCTGTTAGAGGATTGCAAAATTTCTCGAGAATTCTCCAAGACCTTCGAGTATCCGGTCGCCCGAGACCTATCCGCCCGAACTTCGAAGGCATTGCGCCCGATGTATACGTCGTCTTATCTATGAGTTGTGTAGAGTTCTTTAAAATGACATCTTAAATAAAACTAGTGTTTTATGAGTTTTTGTAACGAAATACAATATGAATGGTTTAATATTTTTTTCCGAGTTGTATACTGACTCGGCGGTAAAATTCGTCTTGTCTACGTTCCGTTCACTGTTTGCATGACCGCCGTAAAAAGCATAACTTAAGCAAATTTGGTATCCCATTCTTAAGCCCGTAGAATCATTTCGTTTCCGTGGTGGTAGCATTTTCAGTGAAATATCTTACAAAACCAGACATTTTATTCAACTAACATCACAACTGACTTTTGGCCTCAGATATTTGGCCTCGATGTGTCTATTACATAACAAAATGATTTCGCTTTTGATCGCAGAAGTTCCAAAGAAGTTAAATATTCCAGCGGTTGAATGAGCAGTTGTTTTGATAATGCGGTCAACAAATATTTACAAACATAACTAAAAGAAATTAAAAAATGGAATAATAGCTTAATCTTTGTAATTTGATGCACTGTTTGTTCGTCGGGCAGATCGACTTCCATTCTCGGGCGGATCGACTTCAGACGGATTGTCTTTCGGGCGGAACGACCGCAATTCCCTCTCTCTTATCGGAAAAATGATAGTCTAAAATTGCACCCAGTTATACAAACGTTGGTCAAATTCATGAATTCAAAATTATCACCTCTCCAACTGAAACGTCACTTGGCAATATGTAAATTTGCCAGGTGACCAAACATCAATGGTGTAAGTTCCTTTTGTAGCTTATCACTAAGGTTATGTGCTTGGCAATTCTATCGCGTGATATTTGATAAAAGTTGACAAAGACGAATCATACGTAGAGATCGAGAGCGAAATTATCTAATTGTCTTAGTATAATTATAACAGCCGTCCAAATAATAACAACGAAACAGGCTCGAAGTTAGACACAAAGTTAGACTATTCACTTCATCCACTATCAAGGATAAGACAGCCAATCAGATTACAGCGTTTGTGATAGAACGCTGATATTCATTAGCTTTCAGTTTTCCCTTTCCACCCCACCCTCCCCTAATTTATCTCATTTTCCCGCGAGTTCTATTGTTGTCAGCGGTCTACTTGATTTCGATCATGTGATCAACGCCCGCCAAAACAGAATCGAGCTCCAAAGGGAAAACTTGTGACTGAAAACATAGAAGTTTATTCATTTATGCTGTCTTTTACGACCTTTTATGAACGATAGATCGGTTACCTGAGTAAGGAGGTTAGTAACGATGTTTACTGGATTAGATATCAGGTAAAAAAAGAGCAGAATCCAGCAAATGACTTAGTTGAGAGTTCTTTGGCAAATGTATGTATATGTCATGTTGTCCTCTGGACAATGCAGCCCTGAATTTATCTTCAAACCGTGCTCCTGCACATGTTTTCGACCTTCTTTAAGCTCCTTGAAGTCTATCGTCGTCTTATACAATGTGGATATCACTCTAATGTCTTCCAGATAGCTTTTAAATGCGTTTGAATCGGCTAAAAATCGCCGAGTACAAATCAAGTTCAAAATTTCTTAACTTAGATGCTGTGAGAACTCGATCCATTGTGCCTGCATGCTTTAAACTACCCTTGAC